ATGGATGAGGGGAGCGGCGCGGCGGGCGCGCGCTCACGCCGCGGGGCTGCCCGCAGGAGGCCAGCTGCAAGAACCACCGCGTGAACCGCGTCGTCTTCCTGGGGAGCACCAAGCGCCTGCTCACCACGGGCGTCTCGCGCTGGAACACGCGGCAGATCGCGCTCTGGGACCAGGTGGGCGGCTGCGGCGTTGCGCGGGGCGTCGCGTGGGACACCTTGGGTAGCATCCCTGGGAGCATCCCTTGTGCCGTCCTTTTGGGCATCTCTTGCAACATCCCTTGGCRCACTCTTTGCACCGTCCCTTGGGGCACCCCGGCTGTTTGGGGCACTCTGCAATGTCACCCTTGCAGCTGTGTTGGCGGTGGGATGGAGACAGTAACACACCGGGCCTTGGTGCTGCTCCCTCCCCACTGTGCGGTGCCCACGGCCAAGGAAGTCACCCCAAAAGCGGCCGTTTCAGGCCCATTCCCAGCTCGGGGCCCCGTGGGCTTCCCGAGGGTCCCACCACGAGCCTGGGGTGCCTGAAGYGCTCTTGTTGCTGCGCAGGAAGACCTGTCCATGCCGCTCATCGAGGAGGAGATCGACGGGCTCTCGGGCCTCCTCTTCCCCTTCTACGACGCCGACACACGCATGCTCTACCTGGCCGGCAAGGTAGGTGGGCGCCACGTGGGAATGGCAGCAAACAGCGCAGGACAGCCCGGCTTTGTGAATCAGGTTTCAATAGCTGCGGGTGCGTGGGGTGTTTGGAGCRGGCGGCCACGCCGCTCGCCCGGCTCGCTCCGTGCACTGGGCGCTCCGTGCGCCACACGCTCTGTGCTCCATGTGCCCTGCACGCTCCATGCACCGCGTGCTCCAYGCGCTGCGTGCTCAGTGCTCCATGTGCTCCGTGCTCCATGTGCTGCATGTGCCGTGTGCTCCATGCGCCACATGCTCCCTGCGCTGCGCGCTCCATGCACTGCGTGCTCCGTGCACCACGCACTCCGTGCACCGTGTGCCATGGTGCTCCATGTGCTCTATGCAGTGTGCTCCATGCCGCGCGCTCCATGAGCCGTGCGCTCCGTGCACCATGTGCTCCATGTGCCATGTGCTCTGTGCGCCGCATGCTCTGTGCTCAATGTGCTCCATGCACCGCATGCTCCGTGTGCTGCATGCTCCATGCGCCGCACGCTCCATGCGCCGCGTGCTCCATGTGCTGCATGCACCGCGTGCTCCATGCGCCGTGTGCTCCATGCCTTGAGCATCCCCCACGCTCCGCAGGGTGACGGCAACATCCGCTACTACGAGATCGGCTCCGAGAAGCCCTACCTGAGCTATCTCATGGAGTTCCGCTCGCCRGCGCCCCAGAAGGGCCTGGGTAAGGGTCTGCTCCCCGCTCCTTCCCCAGCGACATCCCCAGTCCCGGCCCTTGAATTTCCCCGGTTCCTGCCTCTTTTCCCGGCTCTCACTCCCTTCCCGCCCCGCGGGCTCAYGCCGCTCTGCTGCCGCAGGGGTGATGCCCAAGCATGGGCTGGACGTGTCGGCCTGCGAGGTTTTCCGCTTCTACAAGCTCGTCACCCTCAAGGGGCTCATCGAGCCCATCTCCATGATCGTGCCGCGGCGGGTGAGTGCTGCGGGCACAGGGACAGGGTGGCACAAGGGGCTTCCATGGGGAATGGAGCTTTTTTACCCCGTGTTCTTGGGAATATGGGGTTTGTGCATTGCTGCTATTGCTCCGTGCGAAGGAGCCCGGGCCGTGGGAATGGGCAGCACAAGAGCTCATCCCGCCTGAGATTGCCCGGGATCATCYGGGATGGCAGCGCTGGGTCTGCCGGAACCTGCCCAGCTCCAGGCTGGGCTCTTGGAGACTCGGCTGCAGCCAGTGCCTCGTGTCGGCTCTAACACCCGTGGATCCAGGTGTCCTGGGATCCCTGTTTTGCCCCTTTGCACGAGTGCTGTGAGGCCAGGCCGCCGTTCCCGGTAGGATCGCAGGCAGCTTATGGAGGCGCCCACGTTGTTCTCCCTGTGTTTGCAGTCGGAGACCTACCAGGAGGACATTTACCCCATGACGCCGGGCACGGAGCCGGCGCTGACACCGGATGAGTGGCTGAGCGGCATGAACAGAGGTAGCGGGGGCTGCGTGCGGGGCGCGAAACCGGGCGCACGGAGAGATGCTCAGAGCTGGGTGCGATGCCGAGCACTGGGATGTGATGCTGAGTATGGGAAATGATGCTCAGGGCTGGGATGTGGTGCTGGCTGAGCACTGGGATGTGATGCTGGGCACGGGGTGCGATGCTGAGCACTGGGATGTGACACGGAGCATGGGGATGTGACGCTGAGCACTGGGATGTGATGCTGGGCAATGGGTGCGATGCTGAGCACTGGGTGCGATGCTGAGCACTGGGATGTGACACTGAGCATGGGGATGTGACGCTGAGCACTGGGATGTGATGCCGGGCAATGGGTGCGATGCTGAGCACTGGGTGCGATGCTGAGCACTGGGATGTGGTGCTGAGTGTGGGCAGTGATGCTGAGCGCGGGGGCGACACTGACCTGCTCCGCCGCCGCCGCAGACCCCATCCTGATGTCGCTGAAGGAGGGCTACAGGAAGGTGTCCAAAATCGTGTTCAAGGCCCCGGCGCGGGAGAAGAAGAGCGTCGTGGTGAACGGCATCGACCTGCTGGAGAACGTGCCGCCGCGCACCGAGAACGAGGTAAGCGGGGGGCCCGGCGCTGCCGCCGGCGCCCGGCCCTCCCCGCAGCAACGTCTCCTCTCCCCAAGCTGCTCCGCATGTTCTTCCGCCAGCAAGACGAGATCCGCCGGCTGAAGGACGAGCTCGCGCAGAAGGACATCCGCATCCGGCAGCTCCAGCTGGAGCTCAAGAACTTGCGCAACAGCCCCAGGAACACTTAACATCCCGGGACGTTTTCTAAATAAACTCTCCTTGTTTATACTCGCTCTTTAATTTTTGTCCTACCCGCTCGCACAGACCGGGAGCCCCAAGCCGAGCGACCTGCCAAGAGGCCACGCGCTAACTGGAAATACGTCCTTGTAGTCTTGTCTAGCACTAAAAAGGCTCCGCGCTGTCACTGGAAGCTACTGCATGAAGGGAAGCCGGGGCGGGACGGCTGCCCCGGCCTTTTCCTTGGAGTAAGTAGAAGAGCCCCGTGTCCCTGCACAGCACCGAGCGCCGGGCGCCGCTCCGGCGAGGCCGAACGCGGCGGGTTTATCCCTGCTCCCCTGTTCTCCCTATGCAAAGCGCGGCAGCGGGTGCCGGGCCGCCAGTTTGCGGAGCGGGCTGCGGTTTGCAAGCGCGCGCCGGCGGGAGCGGCTCCCGCGCTGCCTCCGGAGCCGCCGGCACCGCTCCGGGCTGGGAGCCGCTCCCGCRTCATCCCTCGAAGGAACGCAAGGAAAAAGCCCCTGGGTGCGTGCAACCTGTGAGCTGGGCCTGTCACGTGGCAAAGGCACCAAATACCGCTCGGCTGCCTATATATATCTGCGTATATATCTCTCCGTGTGTGTATTTTCACGGGACGGGAGCTGGGGTGCCATCCCGCTCCGCCGTCCCTGTGTCCGTGTGCTGCCGCCGGCTCTCATTTACGCTGCCGCGAAATAGCGCTGAAATAAACGGTTTTGGAGAGCGCAGCCCTCGCGCCTGGCCCGGCTCTTTGTGCGCGCGGGAAGTCGGTGCCGCGGCCCCTGGCTGGGGGTTGCTGCAATTAGCGCCCTGTGCAAACGAGGGGCCGAGGCTGGGGCTGCCCTGCGAGGGCTGGGGGCTCCTTGACGTGTGGGGCGGTCGAGGGCCCCAGGAGCAGCCCCAGCTTTGCAGGTAAGATGCAGCCCCGCGGCTCTCATCTGCTGCTCCTGCTGGTTGGTTTTTGGGCGCCTTCCTGCTAGGACTGGGCTTTGGGGAAACGGTTTTTGTGTAAAACAATGCTCAGGAAAAGGGGCCGGGGGCTGCTGTGCTGGTTTGGGCACTTGCCAGGGTGCCCCCCTGCTCGGTCATACCCCAAAGCTGCGTTTTGGGGATTGAGAAGCCTCTGGGCAAGGAAGCCTGGGGCCTTTGGTGCCCCTGCAAGCTCCGGTTGCTCCCAGCTCCCTGCGCTGGGAACAGGAGCCTCGGAGCCCCCTGCGCTCCTTCCAGCCGCGCTCAACGCGGGTGCACAGGGTTGGCTTGGTTAAGTTGGATATGGAGGTGACTGCTCCTTAACACTGGGCTGGACTGGACTGCTCCTAAGGACGTCACTGCTTTTCTTCCCGTCCCTTCTTTGCACATCTGCTTCCTCCCCTCTTCCMCCAGCAGCTCACCCTTTTCCTGACGTTTCCCTTTGCACCATTTAGCAGCAGCTAAATCCTCTTTTGTTCCCGAATTCCACCTGGGGAAGGAGGAGAGGACTCATTGCCCGGCTTGTTGCAGTRCCCAACAAGGGCTGTGGGCACTGGCTGCTCCCGTGCTCAGAGGGAAGCGTCGCTGGGAAGCATCCCATGCGGAATGCCGGAGACAGAGCAGGGCCTTCTGCATGCGTCCGTGTGGTCCGGGTGCTGCTCCCAGCCCTGCATCCATAGCACAGGGCTGCAGCATGATTCCTTCTTCCCAAGGTGTGCAAGATCTTCCGAGACACCTGTCAGCGATTCTTGGTCACGGTAGCAAAGGCCAAAATCAGGATTGTCCTGGAAAGAAAGAGGGACAAAACTGCGAGTTTCCGATGGGAAGGGCAGCTGCAGGAGCACGCAGGCGAGGGAATGCCAGCCCGCTGCCTACGGGAGCGCCGTCCTTCACGCTCGGCCCCTCTATCCGGCATTCCTGTGGAAAGATGGGAGAGGAGCCGCTTGCTCTCAGCAGGGCCCCACCGCGCTCCAAGAAATGCAGGAAATTGCCCAAATTGGGCAAAATGGGCTCTCTGGGATGGGCACTTTGCAGGGAATAGGAGGTCTGGGTAGTATGGGGCTCGCTGCTGCCCTTCTCAGAGAAAYGTAATGAATTGCAAGGTAAATGTTGAAAGGATTGGCGTGACAAAAAGGAGTCACTTGAATGACACCCGGGCCATTCCCTGCTAAGGTTTCAGAGCGCCCAAAGGCCAAGTCTAAAGCACACCAGGGCCCAGGGTGACAGGGCAGGAGCTGACGCTGCTCCGGCCGCTCCGGCCCTTCGTGCCGGCGAGGGGAAGCACACGAGGCTCCAGCCTTTGCTAAGAGGCAAAGGTGCTGGGAAGGGGGCTGATTTTATCCCCCTTTTTTCCTTTTCCTTTTCTTGGAAATGGAAGTTCCTCAGGGCAAGGCCAAGCTGAAGGCTCCCCTAGGCTGGGGTGTCCCTGTGTCAATGAAGCTCAACCCGCCTTGCCTCTGGTGCCACAGGGCAGACCCTGCCTGGGAAGGGAGCACGTCTGACCGCTCTGCTGCTCCTCCTCCAAAACCCGTCCTATACACACGTCCAACAACAGTGCAGCTTCCTGCCATGGAAAAGGGCTTTTTCTCCGTAAATTATTTTTAGAGATTGGCATATGCCACCACATGGCAGCCTGTTCACACCAGGGAACACGGGAGAAACTCAGCCGTGGACTGGCAGCAGGTACCAGCCCCAAGCGTGTGCTCAGCTAACGGCAAGGGAAATATCCCAGCAGTTATCCAGCATATCTGCAGTTATCCAGAATATCTTACCTGCGTTGACCTAATACAACCCTTTTCCTCAATCGGATGAAGGGAATCAATCAGGAGTTCTTCCTTCTGGGATTAATTGGGGTTGGATCAAACGCACAGTCACGAACATGCTAAACTCTAATAGTCCTGGTGACAACGCAGGGAAAAATATCCTTTCTGTAATAAAAATGACATACTAGTATTTGCATTAAAACCAAAACCTCTCCCTTGGTTTCACCCAACCATTGCTCTGAGGAGTTTTATAGAGCAAAACATATCATCAAGCTACTAAAAATATCAGGGAATYGACCAGGATAGGTTATTAAATGCCTTTTAAAAAAGGTATGCAATTCATTCCCAGTGGCCCATTTTTACTCAAATAAGCCACAGAAAAAATTGTATAAAAAGATTTATTGAAATTCATCAATGACAAACAGACATAAAACTCAAAGTTTGGCTCTTCYGGGAAAAAAAACTGTTGCAAATGTATTTATACAGATGAAATATTGACTAGGAAATACAAGTCACTTCTAAAGCTATTTTAAAGAGGGATATGAAAGTAAAACTGTACATTCACTAGGTATTTTCAGTCATTTTACTGACTTCCACTAGGTAAGAAAATACAATTTTGTATTAGTATCTCGTGCTTGAGTGTATGAAAAGAAACCTCCTACCCTACATGCTGAACTGCCTCCTGTAATTAGGTTTGTAAAAATTTTCAAAGTATATAGCACAAGTGGAAGTAGTTTCTCATCACTTAAAATTGACTAGGTGTTATATATTACAGACCAAAATAGTACACACCTTATTTAAAAGGGTTGAAACATTTTTTTATTACAATTGTCAAATTAATTTCACTAGTAACTCAGGAATTAGGAACACTTTTTATATATATTTATATATATATTTAAATGCCTGCCATTTTCAGTGTGTTGGCTATACCCTAGCCAAAAAAAAAAAAAAAAAAAGGGAACCCCAAAAAAACAAACAACAACAACAACAAAAAAAAACAAACAGAAAGGAGAAAACACCACACAGGCAGATGGGGGATTGCAAGTTCACCCCACAAACCAGATCCAAAGGAACACCCCAAAAAAAAGGAGAGAAAAAAAAAGAGAAATTTGGTCACTATTTACAAACAGCAAAATCAAAGGTACCTAGAGCAGCAGGGAAAGCGTTGGCTGAAAATGGCAGTCATTCACGGACAGGCAACAAAGCAATCACTTGATCAATATGCCATTCTCACACCCGTTGCTGTGGAGGGACGCGGTGCCTCGGGCCGCAGCATCCCTGCAAATGTGACGCTGTGGTTAGTGGCTGGCAGCCGGGGACGATCCCAGCGAGCGGATATTCRGCTGGCTCCGAACACAGTGTGTGTATTCTGGGGATCATCCGCTCATCTGACACTTTTTATTTTTTTCAGAATGTCAAACTATCCACTCCAATAATAAGAAACAAATTACCACTTGGTTTATACTTACTATTGCAGTTACAAGGACTAAGAGAGGGACAAAAAAAAAAAAAAAAGAAAAAATTTAAAATGAATAGGAGGAGGAGTGGCAGTAAAAATAGTATTTTATTCCCTTGCCCACCCAGTCTGCTTCTCCCTCTCGTTCCCACAGCAACATTACAATCAGGAGGAAAAAAAAGAAAAAAAAAAAAAAAAAAGTTGGGGGTGTGGGGAGGGGGGATACAGGGTAAAAACAGTCAAATCACAATAGGAAATTTTCAAAATAGGTTATTCAGTTTAGTCATCTTCATCCCCTTCGTCTTCAGGTTCTCGTTTTCTCTTCTGTCCCCTTTCCTCATCTGCAAGATAAAACACAACTTGAATTATGCGAGTGCTTCCACATGTTACGTGGAAGCCAAACAAGTTCAACAGGCTTTTTTTGCTTGGCAGCTGGCTTGCCATCAAAGCAGCAAGAGCACAAATGCGAGCTTGCCTTTACTACACTATGCATTTTTTTTAATCTCTAGCAAAAGTTGGATTATTGCCATACCAATTTCTTCTTCATCTTCGTCGTCATCTACCTCGCCATCGTTGTAGCCTTCTTCATCCTCCTAGAGAGGAAAGAAAGGATTTAAAAAGTTGCTTTCTGTGCAGCACCGTTCACTATCAGACAATATCCAACAGCAGTTTACAACAGGGAAAAAGTCCTTGAAGTATCTTAAACAAAAACCAAACAAAAAGGCAGGCGCTTCCCACGCACTTATGTAAGTGCAGTTGCTGAAGTTCTTAGCTACAGTATAACTGGACTCTGGCCCAGGCTTCACTGCAGGAAATCAAAAGCAATCAGAGCAGCCACTTCTAGCTTAAAGCCCTCAGCAAGTAAATTTTATAATTCACACTGCTTTGTTGCTGCAAATTTCTTATGAACGTTGAGTTTAACTGAAGCTGATGAATGGACAGTAGAATGCACCATGTCTAGGTGCAGGAGAGTTAAAATCAGAACACACATCTCCAGATCTGAGAAGCTGCTGTTATTTTTGAGCTGGCTAACCAGTAAGCAACAGTGAGCGCTAAGTATCTGTGATTCTGTGGCCAGAAAATGGATCTCCTGCTGTGACATTTTAGTCCCATTCCCAGTGGTTCTGCTAACTGCAAAGTCTGGCCACATTGTGGTAAGCTCAGTGTACCTGACACACAGGAACCAGACCCGTAAAGACGCTTCAATTCTTCACATGCCCAAGGAGGAATCTTGTTCTGAGAATACATGGTCAGTAATTTGTGTGCTGTATCAAGCAGCAGGAAACTGCCACAACACTGGGGTGACCTTCCTGGAGCAGGGCCTGCTTGGAGTCTCTTMCTACAAAGGGGCAGCGAGTGAACTGTGTTTTCCTATGGATGCTAAGAACTATGTGAGCAAGTTACCCTCTCAGTGCTGACTTCACTTTCTGCTCTTGGTGCTCATCCTCTTTATCCCATTGTCACTAACTTACTCCAATCAACACCATGACGGTACGTTCAGTGTTGCTACTCTGTCCTTTCTGCACTGCACTTTCTCCCACTCTCTCCTTTGCTTGGGTGGAGACCGTAACTCCAGCTCTTCAAAGGCTTCACATGCTAAAACTCGACATCAGTCCAGAAAACAGAATGATTTAATGTCAGTGGTCACTAGATGGCAGCTGGCTCACAGAGAGACACTCCTCAATGCCACCCCCCATTGTGGTTTTAATGTTCCTTTTTTTTTTTTTTAAAGTTTGTACTTGCTTCAAGTACAAAAAGGTTCAATATTTGGTCCATTTCTTTCCCAGCTATTTCTAATTACAGAAGGTTTGTTCTATGCTCATTATTAACGACAATGAACCCTTACCTCCTCTTCTCCACTCACATCCTCCTCTTCTCCTTCCTCCTCTTCCTCCTCATCTTCTTCATCTTCTACTACCTGAGCATCTTCATCGTATTCCTCTTCTATACAGGCAAACAAGATTTATACCAGTTAGATATTTAGAGTTTACTTTTCAGCAATCCCGCACAGGACTGGATGGCAGGAGCAAACTGAAAACTGTGCTGAACGGCAGAGCAGAGCTTCATGCAGCTCTCCAGCTGTAGAACACAGGGCTAGACCAGCCTTGTGCTGAAGCTGCTCCAGCTCCCACTGCTGATTGGCATTTTAAAGCCTCCGAGGYGCTGCAGCTCTTTGCTCTGTCCATCTGCTCCCAGCAGGGACACGGCAGAACCATGAAGGACGACCGTGCCCTAGGAACAGAGGCTCCCCAAGGGTGAGGCCACCTCTTGTCTTTGGGCTGCCAGGGCCACACACAATAATCCAACCTAGGGACTTTGAGTGTGTTTTTAAGAAGAAAGCAAGAAAGCATTTAAGTACACCTAGCCCAAGGGAGAGGAAAAAAAAAAGGGGGGGGAAAAAAAGTGTTCTCCTTACTGTAGGAAGGGTGTTTTAGAGCTTTTTCGTGCAGTTGAAAACAGGCCCAGGCTTGAGCTCTGCTGAAAAGAACCTGTCCCTGCTGAACCTGGCTGAATGCACCGCTCTGCCAGGCAGCGCTGCAGCACTCGCCCCTTTCACCAGATCTCACACTCAGCACTCGCGAGAAAAGTGCAAGTCCAGCTATTCTGCTTTTGCTGTGCAGCTGCCTTTGGAGTCTAGCAAATTCCCCCACTCAGCCCGACACTCATCCAGCTGGTGGCCTGGTGCCGCCGAGCGCAGCCTGCCAGGGAGGCAGATTGGCACCTACGGCCCACTGGGACCCACAATTCATTTTCCTAGCATGAGAAAGTTGTTTGCTACTTCATTAGAGCTTTTCACAGAGCTTGCTCCAGGCAATCTGCAGGTCACACACTTTCCCCTCTTCTGCTCTAACCCAGCTAGTTCACTTTGCCCTTAAAGATCAGACATACTCTCCTAACTAAGCAGTGCCTCAGCTCGAGTCCTTGGCTCTGGCACTTTTTTCTGTGCCTAGCCTGGCTCCCCCTTCTACCCTTATTTATCAGGGTCTACACAGCTACACATACTGTTTGGTTCCTGGAAAAAGGCAGCACATACATGTCATCTTTTCTTACCACTTCTTCCTTCTGTTTTGCTCCCCTGATGTTCACTGCTGCCTGAACTCAAGTTCAACAAGTGTCTTACCGCTTGTCTTACTCCTTATTCTGGCCCACTTCTTCAACTACCCCTTCACCCCCCATCTTCTACTACAGATCAGACTAAAGCTTTCTCAAGCCCTTCCCATCTCCTTTCCCCAAAGGACACTGTGGGGTTTCTCCTTTACATCAGACAGGGAAGGAGCTACTGACAGTCCTCTTCTCTGCCCAAAAAGTCAGCTGAAAACAGTAAGTACTAGGCAGCATATCACTCTTAACATGTATACACCAAGCACCACAACTACGTACCATCTTCATCCTCCTCCTCGTCATCTAAGCCTTCCACATAGCCCTCTGCATCAGAGTCGGGTGCTTCTTTGTCATCCCGATCGTAGCCATCGAGGTATGTGAGCTGCGGGAGGAGCTTGAATACGTTTTCTCTATAATCGTTCAAGTTGGTTACCTCGCAATTGAAAAGATCTAAACTCTTCAGGTTTTCTAACTTTTTCTGTAAGGAAAGAAAAGTCAGCGTCACAATAAATCTCTGAACAKAGAACACAACAGCAGCCGCGGTTAMTGTGCTCAACAGCTTCCCARGACAAAAGGGTCATTTCAATTCCCTGTCAACTAAATTGGTGTGGAACTGGTTCTACAATGGTTGGTCATCACTGTTTCGACACCCATGAACTGAACATGCTCTTTCTGAAGTTCAGTATCTCACAAGCAGAAGACTGAAATTTGGAAACAGGCAATGGTGCAAAATCACATGTTGTGAGGGCCCAAGCCAAGAATAAAAACCAATCTAGTAAGTTGTCCCAAAAGGGCAAAGCAAGATATTGAAGCCAGCAGTCAGGTGCCTTTAAACTACTACAACCAAATTAAAAAGAAACCATCTATTCTTTGGACACAAGAATTTTACAAAGAGGCATTTAAAAAGTTTTAATGATTGTAGACTACTTAATTTTCAAAATAACTTAAAAAATAAAGAAATAAATTGAACAGAAAAGGATGTTTTTTATTTCTTTTCCTTTTTTTCAYGGAAGAGGTCTGCATTGCCAGCAGYCAACAGCACTTAAAACAAAACACACACAAGGAAAATGCCAGCACAGCAGTAAAGGATTTGTATCGAGTCTTATGCAATGTCTCCCTTCTGCAGCTGAAGACACAGAGTGATGATGACTTCAAGAAAAGAACCAGCTTTTGGTTGCTCTCTTCTGATGAGTTACATTGGTGCAAAGTTGCTGTGCTTCCAAAACGCACCAATCGAGTGATGCTGGCCTTCGTATTTCAGAAGGGCACGCAACTACAGCGTGTGACGCTGCCTGGGGCTCACCTTTGGTCCCAACTGTCCTAAAGGACACAGCTGGTGTGGATAAGCACAAACCTACACCCCTCAGCTGGTCTCAGTTAGACCTTAAAGGTGCAGCTGTGGAAAGAGGAGGGGAGCAGAGAGCTCGTGCTTAACGAGTGGTAAACTGGAACCATAGCAGAGGACCCGCAGACAGCTCAGGAGAACCAGGAGCACCACCCAGCTGAGTTCACGAGTGGCCGTGGCTCGGCTCCGGCTGCCGGGGCCACGCAGGACCCACGCTGCAGAGCTTGCTGTGGCCGCCTGCTCCGCTCCCTACACGTGCCGGGTGCTCCCGCGGCTCCCGGGCGGCTCCCGGGCAGGGGTGGCCGCTAGAGGGTGGCAGCGTCGCAGCTCCGGGTGCTCCCCGGCGCCACCAACGTCCTGCTGGGACCTGCCACCACAGTCATTATTGCCCGGCTGAGGATAAACCGCAAAGCCCAGGACACACAACTGAAAACTGCTTTGGAATCTAAAACCTCCAAAACACTGGGGCTACGCTAAGCTGGTGCGTTACCCCCCTCATCACAACACGACAGGTTTTTGTTTCCTGTGGCGTCACAGTCACTTACCAGAGGTTCTATTGTACCGAGATCTTTTATTTTGTTGCCACTTAGATTTAGATGCGTGAGGTTTGGACACTTTTCTGCCAACACTTCCAGTCCTCCTGAGATTCTGTTGTCGCTTAGTTCGAGCTAGAAAGCAGATAAACATGTTGAGTTTTTGGCATAAACCACAATCACAATGCCATTTGGTTAGTTAATTTAARTTTTTCTGCAATCAACTATTTTACATTCAGTATATTGCAAGGAGGGAAAGACAGGACATAAAGCATTTTATTTACCTTCTTAAGTTTGTTTAACTTTGGTAAGTTTGCAACTGAGGCTAGGCCTACATTGATTGTACTTAAGAATTCCAGCTCTTCAAACTCATCTGTAAGGCCTTCAATTTTGCCTTCATATGACCTACAGTTGTCAAGAACGAGTTCCTTAACCTGGAAAAAAGAGCAAAGCAAAAAGTGTGTAAGTTCTGTGCAGGGAATAAAGCTTTCACTCACAAGCAAGCTACACCACACGCCAACAGCTCCTCCATGTGGGCAGCTCATTCCTTAGGGAACGGCAAGGAACGCTGCGGGTGGTTCTGGAAGGGGGTAAGCGCTCGCAGGTTGCTGCTGGTGAAGGGCATCCCCTGCCTTATCTGCCCGCGCTGCTGCAGGCGGGAGGCTGGAGGGAGGCCGCGATAGCCCACGCAGCTGTGCGCGCCGCGGCGGCGTGCGCAGCCCGCGGGCGCAGCCAGGCACAATCTCTTCCTGCAGGTGCTATCTTCGAGTGACACAAACCAAGGGCAGTAACGCAGGAGAGCTGCTCAACAAGCTCCRCCCGGCACGAAGCGCCTCCTTTGGCCCTGCGAGGCTCGAGCCCAGGAGCAGCAAACGCTGGTCGAGTTCCCCTGGGCCACTGGTGCCATCGCGTGAAGYGCCAATGCTCCGGGCACCATCCAGACGTTCTCACACCCATGGAGAATTTCTGGGAGGTTTTTGTGCTCTGCATACAAGTATCTTGGAGAAGCACATGCCACTCCTGTGTTCCGGCCCCTCTCCTGCAAGGGGGAGCAGGAGCTTGGGACGAGGGGGCTGCTTTGGGCCAAGAGCATCGGACAGGAGAGAGTTTGGGAGACTGATGAGCACAGGAACATGAAGCTACTCTTCAGCTCACACAAAGCACAGTTAATATGCAAACAGCCAATTTCCTCATTTTTCTTTTATTACTGTAACCGTCTTGATTCAGCAGCATGGGGAAGAATCCTATGTAGTTCTACAGCTCCAAATAACATCATCCCTAGTTTTCTAATTAAACTCTAAGCACTGAAGTCAACAGGGAAGTCAGCCCAAAGCAACACGAGAGTACAAATGATTCACTGAGAGTAGGAGGATCAGAGTTAGACGGGAAATACGTTTTCCAAGTCTCTACCATTTTCCTAGAAAAATTATGACAGGGGATGGCTACACAGAAGTCTGCCAGAATTTCAGACTGGTTGGGAGAAACTAAAGACCGAGGCAAGCGCTCAAGATCCATCATACATTATTTCAATGCAAAAACAAAACATCCCCTCCATCCCTCAAGCAAACACAGGGACAAATATGCAGCTTTTTAGTGCCACAGTATTTAAGCACCAGGATGCTTGGAGACACACAGAGCTTTCTTGGATATCTCTTTCTTTATACATTCTGCCCC